ATTGTATAATGAAATTATTTAAAATTTGACCCATTTCTGATCCATTAGTTAAGAGGGGTGGAGGGATACACAAGGGAAAACTGCTTGGCACCCCAATATGAATTTTTGAAAATTTGTTACTTTCAGTTGTCATAATCTTCTTACCTTCTACCTCATAATGTTATTTTTTATTTGAGTAATCTAATGGAAATTAACTGGATTGGTTTTGTTGGCCATCTCAACTCACTTTCATCTAAGAGGTTAGAATGGTCAATCTAATAAGAATTGATAATTTCTTCTCTATTATGAGACTCCTTGTTGTATTGTTCATTTCTCCCAAATTATGAGATTCTTTCTTAAATTTGTTGATTGTTAGATCTTTGTTGGATAAGGTATTGAGTTCTTTAATTGTTGGATTATGAATATTTGGATGTAGTTTTCTTCATATTGTAAATAATATTTCTATGGATTGACAAAAATAAAAACTATATATATAAATAAATTAATTAATTAATCTTATAGAAGTGCAACCTTGAAAATTTGTCATTTTGAGTTGCCATAATGTTCTTACCTCCTACCAAGCTCAAAATCTCATTTTTGGTTTGAGTAATCTTAATATTTGATAGGTGGAGCTTTTCTTATCAAGCTATTTTACTAGGTTCTATTTCAAATACTAAAATTATTTTCCTTTTGTCTTAAAATTCAGTAGTGTGATGTTTTTATTGCTTCTCCATAAACCATGTCTTTTATTCCTTATATCACTTTCTAAATGTTCTCAAAAACATAAAAATCTGTCGCGTTATTTTTTTAATTTGTTTTTATCTTTTTTTTTTTTTAGATTATGAGCAAAATTCCTTGTGAAACTTCCTGAAAGTAATTAGGTTTGAAGGCTTAATTTTACATTAATATTCGATTTCATTAAACAAAATGTGTAGGTATAATCATTTGTGATATGTTATATTACGAACGAATAATTTATCTGATTTGATCTCCAAGATAGATTGTAATCCAGCTATGGTAGGAGCTTATTGTCCTTATATCACTTTCTAAATGTTCTCAAAAACATAAAAATCTGTCGCGTTATTTTTTTAATTTGTTTTTATCTTTTTTTTTTTTTAGATTATGAGCAAAATTCCTTGTGAAACTTCCTGAAAGTAATTAGGTTTGAAGGCTTAATTTTACATTAATATTCGATTTCATTAAACAAAATGTGTAGGTATAATCGTTTGTGATATGTTATATTACGAAAGAATAATTTATCTGATTTGATCTCCAAGATAGATTGTAATCCAGCTATCGTAGGAGCTTATTGTTGAATTAAAGAAACAGTTGAGAATTTCTTGAAAGAGGGAAAAACCAGAAAGAAAAAAAAAAAATTTAGACCAAAGCAACAAAAAGAAGGAGAAGAAAGAGATGAAGTATCAAGATCAAAAGAGACATAGGATTCAACTGATATGTAAGTGAAAATGGTTTCAAGTGGTATGGGTTTTGTTACTTAAAGACCACTTCAAGGAAAGTTGGACATAAAATTAACATTTTACTTTCTTGATTCTTGTGATTTTAGGTTTCCCAATTTTATTTAGGATGAATTATAATTACACTTCTTTAAATTTGCTTAATATACAAATTGCTTCCAGTAATTTTGTAAATTACATTTCACCTCTTAAAATTTATAATTCTATACAAGAAACCCCTATTATTAATCAACTAATCAATTAACAAAATTTAATGATGTAGAAAACATATTTCAATTAATAATTATAGTAATTTCATTGTTGTATAAGAGGATAGTTATGATTTTTTTTTTCTGTCAACTTCGTTAAATAACAAATTCTGACAAAAAGATATTTATAATTTCCAGAGCTATAATTCTGACAAAAGATGTATTTATAATTTATTTCTTTTTTCAAGTTAGTTGGTTCTTTAAATGTTACACTCATTTCACCAAAATTGGTGGTAAGAAATTACAAAAAGATTGTATATGGATTTGATTGCAAAGGGGGCATGGGAAAATTTTCAAAACCCACTTATTATTAATTGCGTGTTTTCTTTATTTGATTTGATTTGACCTAAGAATGAATTAATACCTAATTTAACATCTAAATAATGCTAAACATCATGTTAACCTCCTACACATACCATTTGATTTTTTAAACGCATCTGTTAAATTGTATGTAGTTATAAATTTATCAATAAGCAAAACCGCAATAATAAACAGTACTTAAAATATTCCTTCTCTTTCATACATACTCTACTTTCTTCATTCCTTCTCTCTGTATCAGATTCTTAACATAAGGCCTCGTTTGGCAAGTGATTTTTTTAGTTAAATAGTCAGAAAGTTATTAAAAAAATCAAAAAGTCAACAATTTATATTAAAAAGTCAAAAATTTTCTTTTCTCTCCACTTTTTATACATCTTTTTTTAAAAAGTCAAAAAATCGTAACATTTAATGTTCTTTACCATGTAAGTCACGGTTTTTTGATTACCCAGATTGACTACGAAACTCGATCTTCGCTTATTTCAGAGATAACCCTTGCACAAATATATATACAAATTTAATACAATTTATTTTTATCACAAGACTCAAAATCAATAGATCTCACACGACTTTTTTGACCTCACTACTGATTTTGTTTGTCTATTATTACTCATCAATAAAAGGAGACGGATTGTCTCCCACTTGTACATTGGATTGGACACGTCCAGGGGTAGTGGACTTATCACAGGTGTATTTCGATAATATATTTATTTAATATATTTTTGTATGTTCATGTGTTTAGATCATTTACTAAAAATTAATTAATTTAATAATTGTAATTATATAATTTTATAATATTTTTTTTCAATAAAATAGATGATATGTATAATTTTTAAAAGAGTAATGAGTGAGACCTCCACAAAAACTCTACCCCCACAACCCGCACATCATCCTATGTGAGAGAGAGAGAGAAAAATATAAACACACTTAAACCAATCACACATATTTTGAGATTATGGGAGTCCCCAAATTAGAGGTCGCAAGTTTGTTTCTTTTTCATAAATGATCAATACGTATTTACTTATAAAATCACGTAATTCATTAAAATGAGGATTCACCCATCCATATAATGACCTATACTTGTTTGTGAATTTCTATACACGTTATCTCTTTCTTTTTTCTTTTTTTTAATGACTTTTTTTTTAAAAAAAATTATGTCAAAATTTTTTACATGTATAGATGAATCTAAAAAGTAAAAAAATAAAAAAATTTAAAATCAAAATAAATAAAAAAAGTCCACTATTTTTGTCTTCAAAAATGCTAAAGGCTTCAAAATTCTACCAAAAGTTCTACCAAATGTCTCACTTGGGTGTGAGACTCACATAAGACCCATACTGTGTGGGTCCCACACCTATGTGAGACATTTAGTAGAAATTTTGGTAGAATTTTTGAGATCTCTAACATTACTCTTTTGTCTTTTATGAACTCTTTTTGATTATTTTTTTGTTTTTATTTTTTGAAAATTTAATTTTCCAGTTCATCTCGTTGAGTTGAATCTAGAATCTTAAAGTTTTTTGAAATTTTTTTTTAAAAAATTACTAAAGATGAAGAAAAAAAAAAAAAATAAAAAAATAGGGGATATAAAATAATTGATGAGGTGTTAATAGCCACACTCATTTATTTATTTATTTATTTTTTATGGGAGCCAAGTAGTTTTCAAGAGTAAGTATTTTCAAAGATTTTGGAGATCCGAAAAAAATATGATACTTCCAAGTTTTATGGATCAAACTTTGCTTCACACTTCCCTTCCCACCAACACACTGATAAGTACAAGTCCATACACATCAATTTTAGGGCATTGATAGAGACCACTAAAAGTGGTACTCTAAAGCAATCATTAATAATGTGACATCTATTTTTTTTTTTAAAAAAAAAAACAGACACAACAACACTGTGATAGTGAGTGAGACCTATTGCTACATCATTAATTGTGACACTAATTAGTGTTCTCACTCATTTTTCTCAATTTTAAGACCGTGACAATCAATGCACAGCATGCCACTTTTAAAGGAAATTATCCACAAATACATATGTTTTTTCAAAAAAATTATTGAAAATGACGTTGCCTTAATAATTTTAAAATTATAAGCCGTAACAATAAATATAGTAATTTAAAATAAAGGGCCATAAAATCATTCTTTTTTCTATATCCACAAGTATATATTTTGCACATAAAATTTATTTAGAATGCTAGTGCTAATATTTTTAAAATTATAACCAACAATGTTACGATTCTACATCGATTAATATTGGCCTTGGTCATGTGACTATAAGCTTTTTGAGCATATTTCCTTTACAAGCCGATTTTTAAGGGTGAATTTTACTCGGCAAGTTCGTATCATTTGATATCAGAACCAACCACCATATCGAGTATGAGATTGGATGCACCTATGCGAGTATGGAATTAGATTGATGTGTTTTTCAGTTCAAGCCGTGAAAGTCAATTTCCAAGGGTAAATTTTACTCAAAAAGTTCATATCATTTGGTATTAGAAACTAACCACCATGTCCAGTGTGAGATTGGATGCACCTATGCCAGTATAGGATCAAATTGATGTTTGTAGCTCGAGCTGTGGAAGGGGAAACTTATAGGCTAGATTAAGACACTTATTGACTACTGATAGTTAAGTAAAGTTCCCAGAAAGAAAAGGGCTACCATCAGATCATTCTCGATAGAATGGGTAACACGTTGGCTTTGCGGTTTGAACTACAGAAGAGAGGACTTACATGCTGAATTAAGACACTTAAACAAGTGTTAAATACTAATAATTGAATGAAGCTTCGAGAAAAGAAAGGGCTACCACCATAACATTATCGATAGAGTGGGTTGTTGTGAATATCAGCTGCTAAGTGTGGTGGTACATTACGATCTCACATCAGTATCGATTAACCATGTACATATAACTTTCTAGAACACTTTTTCTGTATAAGTGGCATCATTCTCTGCACAAAGATTTTGCTACTCCATTTTTTAAAAGTTGAGATAAGAAGGTATAATTTTGTCAATTTTCAATTCTAAACATGTACCGATGCTACATATCATATAGATTGCATATAAATCATCGTCCACCAACTTTCAAGAATAAACAAAAAGAAAATCCAAATATGGGAAATATCTATATATATATATATCATTGCCATTCCACTAAGACAAAACATCTTCTCTCTCATCAAGTGTGAGAAGACACCATCATCGACCTTGTGCTGCCACTGTACACTATCTTCCCTTCTACGTGAACCCTTTAATTGTATATCTCCTTTTCTACAAAGACAATCCCGATTGAAATAAGTTTACTAACAAAAATAAATAAATAAATACACAATCGAACACAAAATAATACATAAATAGATAAAAAGAATTCAAAATTGGACTCAAAATAAAAATCGGACCCACCAATTAATCTCGTAAAATTCTATTAATAATAATTTTTCTGTATTTAATGTATTTTTAAATTCCATTTTGTGTCCCTTGCACGTCTATGGCATGCACCCAAACGACGCCGTTACAGCAACACTAGCATGGCCTTTGCAACTCAATATCCTAAGCAGACTCCACGAGCTTTTCCGGTGGTGGCTCCGATTAACCGGAAACTTCTTTCCGCCGTCACACACCGGAAACAGAGTGGCCGGAGAGCGGCGAACTTGGCGGTTCTTGATGTCCTTGAGCTCCATCTCCGGCGGAAACTTTGCGAGTCCGAACATCAGAAGATACCAGCGAGGTTTCGGAACTTTCTGGCCCGAATTATCGGACCTCACAGAGCTCCTGAGAGACGAATTTCGGTGAATTTCGGAGTTATTGCTGAAATCTCGGCGTAACTTTTCGTAATCCAGAGAGAAAGAGCGATTGTTGCGAATTGGAGGAGGAGGAGATTGAGAGGATTTCAAGTCGGATAGTGATTCAGATCTGCGGCGGTGAAAGGTGTTCTTCAGATTATGATGATGATCTGTGTTGTTGTTGTTGTTGTTGTGGTGGATTTGAAATTGATTATTGGAGAGAGATTGTTGTTGTTGTTGTTGTTGTTGTTTGAAGGGAATGAGTTTGCCGCAGAAGATGATGTCTTCGGCGTGAGACATTTCGGAGGTGAGATTATTGAAGAATTCGAAGAAATCGGTAGGTTCAGAGGATGATCTGCGATCTTCATACTTGGATTTGGAGATGGAGATGCTATCGTTAGAGTGAGATTGATCATCAGTGGTGGTTATTGGAAAATCACTCAGAGAGAGTGCCTCTGCTTCCTCTGTTTCTTCTTGTTTATCACCATGGATGTCTTTGTTATCATCCATTTTTGGAGAGAGAGGGAGAGAGTGTGGAACAAACAATGGCTAGACCAATCCTTCTTCTAGAGTGTGAGAAGATATCTAGAATATATAAATAGTTGTATAAGATATTGAAATGTCGCAAATATTTGAAGGGGTAAATTATGTAATTAGTGTTATAGTTTATACGATAGGTTAATTTGGTTTTTGTAATTTTAATTTGTTTAATTTTTTTTTAATTTAATAAATTGTATCATTTTAATCCAATAAATAACGGTTGTTAAGTTAATTTAACGAAAAGTCAAATAATGTGTCAATTTGGTCCCTATATTTTATACGATATGTCAATTTGGTCCCTATAATTTTAATTTTCTTGATTTTGACAGAGATTAAATTAACACATTGTGGAAAATATAAAGACTAAATTGACACATTGTTTGACTTTCCGTTAAATTAATTTAACAAACGTTATTTATTAGACTAAAAGGACACAATCCGTTAAATTAAGAGCATGTTTGTTTTGAGGAATAAGGGTGTGAGATTGGACTATTAGTCCCACCGGACTAATAGTCCATTGTTTGTTTACAAATTTTGCTCCGAACTAATAGTCCCCCCGACTATTAGTCCCACAAATATGGGACTATTCTATCCCATGGGGGAGTGTGGGATAGAAACCATGAGATTGGTATCCCATGGGATTATTTGGTGAAATGTCCATTTTACCCTCCATGCTATTATTTAGTAAACAATTAGAAAGGGTAAAATAGTCTTTTGAACATTTATAAATTATTTTTTTAGTGTTGTTAATTTAAAATTATATATTAAATAAAAAAATTAAATTATAAATTATAAATTAAATTTAATTAAAAATAATAAATTAAAAATTATGGCCTTATAAATTAATTTTTTTACACATGGAATTTGTTTTGTTTTGTTTGATTACAGAAACACAATATCCCAAATGTGGAAAAGAAAGATGAACTTGTTAGAATGTGTTTGTTTTGAGAGATTATTCCATGAGATTAGACCATTGTTTGGTTCAATTTTTTTTGTTTCGGATTAATAATTCCTCATATAAGCGATTATTGTATCTTGGGAGAGAGGTGGGATTATTTCTATGGGATTGGTATCCCATGAGACTAATGTATGAAATGTCCATTTTACTCTCATGCTATTATTTAATAAACAATTGAAAACGGGTAAAATAGTCTTTTGAACATTTATAAATTATTTTTTTAGTGTTGTTAATTTAAAATTATATATTAAATAAAAAATATAAATTATAAATTATAAATTAAATTTAATTGAAAATAATAAATTAAAAATTATGGCCTTATAAATTAAATTTTTTTAGTGCTGTTAAATTATAAATTATAGATTACAAATTTAAAATTATATATTAAATAAAAATTATAAATTACAAGGATAAAATAGTCTTTTGAACATTTATCCTTATCCAGTCCATCTAACCAAACATTGGATTCATTAAAAATAGTCCAATCCAGGCATCTAATCCCATGACTAAACAAACATAGGATACAAATCCAGTCCAACCAAATAGTCCGGGTACAATGTATCCCGGGACTAACAGTCGGATGGATTACAATCCCCCCTTATCCAGTCCATCCAAACAAACGCACCCTAAGAGGCAAAATCGAGCAAATTGAAACTACAGGGACCAAATTGACACATCGTATAAACTATTGGGACTATTTATATAATTTTTCCTATTTTAAATAGAAAAATATTATAAACCCTAAATAATCTATTAAATTTTTTATTAAAGGTCTCATATGGGTGTGGGACCTACACATATATGTGTAGGTCTTACACCCATGCAAGAGGTTTAGTAAAAAATCTGAAAGATTGTTTGGGATCCCTAGCATCAGTCTTTTAAATAACTCTACTATTAATAAATAGGATAAATTATGAATATATATTTAGAAATTTATTTAAAATACGAATTATGTTCTACGGTTTAAAAAATTAAAAATATTTCATTGTTAGAATTTTTTATTTAGCAAAATCAACTGAAAAAATAATTTTTTTAATGACTCTCCTATACAATAATAAAATTAATATATGAATTATTAATTGAAAGTAAATTTTTAACATCATTAAAAACTGTTAATTAACTTGATAATTTATTAACAAAATTGGTCATTTGTTATGAAATTAAAAATTTTAACGAACAGGATATAGTTTCCAGAATCATAAGAGATAATTTGTATTTTAAACAAATTTCAGAAGGTATGTTTATAATTTATCCTAATAAATATTAGGTACCCAAAAAATTATGAGTAAATTTCACTGTTGATTTTTTAGTAGGATTGAAATTTTAATTTAATTTAAATAATTTAAACTTTGCACTTTTAGTTTTGTTGCAATGTGATTCATCCATCACTTACTATTGAAATTTTAAATGAAACAAAAAGGGCATGCAACTCGCGTAAGATTTTAGATAAATTACACTGACCTTCTTTGAAGTTTAGAAAAAAAGACAACAAATTCTATGACTTTAGCATAATTATATTGATCTTTCTTTTAGTAAGCTTACAAAGACGGAAACAAATGTAGATCTAATAAATTTTTAATGAAAATTGGACCAAGTATTATATGAATCAAAACCTTAAAAGAGTCCAATATAATTATATTAAACTTGTGAGGTTTATTATAATTTTTTAAAATTTTAAGGGAGATCAATGTAATGTATTCTAAAATTTTTAACTTTTATACAGGAAAAAAATGAATAAATTATACTAGTAACTCCTATAGTTATTATTATTATTATTTTTTATCCAAGTTGTTAATAGCACATGACAAAATAACAACATTTCAATAAAATATAAGGCTCAAATTTACCGACACTTAAAATGATGTTTAACTTAAACTATATAGACTAATCGCGTAGGGTAATTCTATTTATACACCACTAATTTTTTAATACACACTATTATTTAGGGGTATTTTGAAATGATTTAAATAAGTGTACTTTTTAATTTTTTATGAAATATGAGTTGTGTATGGGTTGAGTTTTAAGTGATGTGGTGGAGCTGTGATGTGACTTAAAATAAGATGATGTGACTTAAATATGATAGTGACTTTTTGACTTTTGTAGGTTATGATAAACAAAGCCTTATTACACACACAAAATAAATTTTAGGGTTTAAAAAGAGAAAATTAGTAAAACATTTCTCCCTAACTTTGTGTAGTAAAAGAGGTTTAAGATATATATTTTTTTATTAGCTAAGATCCATCAACATTTTCACAAAGAAAATTCAACTCAAAAATATTTCAAAATTTTGATGGTATAATCACGGAAAAATTTTGAAATTTTTTTGTGAAAATGAAAATTTCTCTGAATCGAATTTTCTCTGTAGAAATGTTGAGGGATCTTAACTACTATGAAAATATTATATGTCATTTATCTTTTAAAATCTTAATATCAAGGACCTTAAAAAAAATTCCCTACTGTGTTTGGTTGGGAGATTTGAGGAAGGATTTAGAAAGAGAAAGAGAAAAGGTGTGTGAAACTAGTGAAATGTACATATATTTTATTCACATTTCGTCTATCTTTTCTATTTCATTTTCTAAATCCCTCTTCAAATCTCCCTACCAAACACAGTATAAATATCTTATTTCATATTTTAACTTTCCATTACTAATCATATATTATTACACCACTAACTATTTGAATACACACTATTACACACATCAAAAATTCTTTATCTTTACTACTGCACACAACAAAAACCCTCTGCAATCTTCAGAACAGAGACCGTCTTCGTCAGTCTTGATCTCCATCGATAAGGATGGTCATTTTAATCCGATTTGCGAGGCCCCACCCATACCCGCTTGAATGGGACAGATTTCACCTGCCTCAAAACTTATGTGGGGTCGGGATGTATTATGTTTTGGTCACCCGCAACGGGGGTGGGGCGGGGGCAAGTATTGCCTCCCTTGATCCAAATCTAACTCGATATAATTAATAATATACGTGTATATATATATATATATGTATAATATAATTAGATATAAGAAAATAATATTAAAAGTATATGATTTTGTTTAAATATAAATAAATAATAATCCTAAAAGTCTCACTATTTATATATATGGAAACAGGGAAAATTATTTGGTGTGTGCTAAGGATTTAAATAGTTCTTAATTTTTTTGACTATTTGAAATGTAGTCGAACATCCGCGAATATTTGCAGGGGCGGAGATGGGGTTGAAAAATTCCACCTGTAGCAGGGGTGGAATTTGTCCGCAAGGGCGGAGGCGAGGAATGGCAAACCTGTCCCAAACCCGCCCCGTGGCCATCTATATCCATTGGTGGGAGAGGTTTCATTTGGCCTTCATCTACATCAGTGTTGATTTCCTAGTTGGTGTTGAACTCTCGTCGTGTCTTATCTTGTTGTCTCGTCATTTCAAATCGTCAACGGAATATTTCATTCGGCCTCCATCTTTACCCGTATTGATCTTCATTGTCAGTATTGAACTCTCGTCTCCTATCGTCATTTCATATTGCCATTCTCACCCTTGATTCATGAGTGTATGTTAATGGTGAAGATGAAGAAACATGAGTATACTTTTTTAATAACAAATTCACTTTTGTAATCAACAACACAATCAGTTTTAACATTGCTACATTGGGTGGGTATAAAACTCTATAAATTTTTTTTTTAACAAATTCATCACATTAGTCATGTTCAAGAATATAGAGTTGAACAAACTTAATGTGTTCAAAAATTTATATCTAAATAACAAATAAATGTTTAATTTATTTTAATCGAACTAACTTAAAATGTTCAATTTTTTATGTATGAATTAATATGTGGCCAATCTTAATAATTTAAACAAAATTATTTTGTTCAAATATAAATAATTGAATATTGTGTAAAAGTTCACCTCTGGTTATCCGAATACGATGAACATACTCATCTTTCCAACATACAAACGAGATAAATAAAAAATCAAAAAGTCAAGTCATAAACTAACTTTTTCAATGTTTAAATCAACGTTTTCAATGTTTATACATCTTATTGTCATCTATAGTGTGCAAATCTTTAAAATTAATTGATTTCAATATTTTAAA